TTCCCCCCCCTGCCCAGGTGACCAGAGCATCGCCTCCCAGGCGCCAGGCTTTTGTCTGCAGACAAGGAGCGAGATCCCCGCTGTGAGGGATTCAACAGCAGCCTCTCGGGCTGGCTGAGACAGATCTCTGGAGAGGGGCACCGACGGGGGCATTTCTGCCACAGGGACTACATTAAGAAATAGATGATATTAAGATTATTCACGTTTGCACCTTATATTTTGTAATTGAAATGTTGTATTGTGATGTTGTAAATAGTGTTATTTAGGGTTTGACCTTGGTTAGTTGTTAGTGTTCACTGTAAATATACGTATATGATATTTAGGTTTATGTTTATGTATATCATAACTTAATAAATTGTATATGGTTAAGAACTTTGGTTTTGGACTAACTCTATAGAGGAAAGAGGGATCTGCTTGAAATTCTGGCATCCCTCTCACAGCACCCCCTCCTGCCTACCCATCCCATTCAACTGAAAATAGGGCATACCCTTAGGTGTACCTGGGTTACATAACAATATAAGTATGACCATGAGCAGCATGAATGGCAGTAATATATATCCTGGCTTCTTCACAGTGTTGAATAAACCTGCCTCCTCCATACCCACCCCAGCCCTTCCTGCACCATATGGGGCCAGTCTGTGATGGCCAGAACCAAAGAAATTAATAAGCAATAAATATGTGCTTTTTAGAGGCATTTGGAATTTTTGTCTAATATAAAGCTTGTATTTTTGTAACCTGCAAATGTAACTTGTAACTGTGTGTGAAACTGACTAAGCCTCGAAGACAAAGCTATAGCTGTGAAATTAGCTGACCTAATGGTTCTTTCTTGCTCAGAATTTAGCCTTGATGATGATAAAAACTGGATTCAACTGCCTGGCCCACCCAGCACAGTCCAGGAAAGCACATCTCAAAAAAGCATAGTCAGAGAGTTCTAAAGGGGTTGGATTTAGGCAGAGTAATGTTAATTTCAAACCTGAAGATGCTGCGTTGTAATTTACTTATTGGATAAATCCAAGTTTGGGTAGCAACCTTTTATAATAATTTTTAACATCTTTTAATCCCATAGGGTAATAGCTATAGAACAAGATTATGAATGACTCTAAAGCCAACAGATTAGTATAAGACTAGGTATAAAAAGTGCATGTGTCAGGTGACCAGTAGGAAGGAGGGAACAGGACAGTAATTGCTGTTCCAAGCCCAGACTCCGGACTCCCGGTGTAAGTGAGGATCGGTTCCTGATCAAAGGACCTTCCCCGGTAATCCCTCGGACAGCATCGATTGGGGATGCCTGACTTCGCTGGAATCACCTGGTGCGCACCTGGTATTGAGGGACTATCGATAAATTGCCAACCCATGTCTGTTTATCTGTTGTTTTAAACAGCCAGTGGCTGATACCCTCACAGTGCCCTGCTGGTCTGTGACAGATTGATCTATCTATCCATTGTTATTATCTGTTGTTATTATTTACTATTAGCTCGTTAATACTGCATTAGCTGCTTATCACATTTATCTTTCTGTTAACTGTTGTGTGTGTATGTGTTATAATAAACTTGCCATTGCTTTACTCCCAACTCTGCCTCCTTGATCCTGAACCAAACAGCCTAGTGGCTAAATTGATATACTCACAGTGCCCAGCTGGCCTGTGGCACTGGTCCCAGAAGAAGAATTGGCACGGCCCCATTCCTAGCCCTGGCATGGGCTTCAGGGAAGGTGGCAGCCTCAGACACACGTGAGCATGTCTGAATGGGTGTGTGCAGTGCCTGAGGCCCTGCCTGAACTCAGACCCACACAGCCCAGCACCTCTGAGGGTGGCAAAGGAAACCCTGATGCCTGCAGTTACTGGGGGTGGGGAGTACTCCTTCCTGGCGCATGTGACCACCAGCAAAGCCCCAGAGCCTGGGGCAAGCACACACCCTGCTCTGCCCTGCAGCCTGGGCACAGCAAGCAAAGCCTACCCCTCAGCCCTCTCCCTGCACAGCCAGAGGTGCCCATCTGTCATCTGTGCCACCCCAAGAACTTCTCCCAGCCCCTTTGATCTTGCACGCTGGAGCTGGCTGTGAGCTCTGCTTCAGGCTCTTGCTGCCTGCACTTTGTGATGCTGGGCCCCGTTCCTGGCTGGCCCCTTGACCACTGGGCCCAGCTGGAGGGTCTCATAGGTACTGTCAGCCTCAAGCAGGGCTGGGGGGGCTGCAAACACAGGGGCTGGTCAGGGTGTGGAGCTGGGGCAGGACTAGGTGGGGGAAGGGTGCTGGATCCTACCTGCCCCCTGTGCCCGGGAGGTCATGCTCCATCCCAGCGGGGGGGGGCTTGAAAAACAGCAGGACCTTGTACATCTCCACAGTGGGACACGGAGCAGCTCATGATGTAGGTAGCTCAGCCTTGCAGGGCTGCTGGAGTGAATACAGGAAATTCTGGAGCATCAGCCAGAAGCAGAAGTGGCCTCGACCATGGATGGGGGTGGCCAAGTTCGGCCGGATGTGGGACCATGGCCCAGACACTGACTCCAGTGGTTATGGCCCTGCCCTCCCCGACACAGACAGGCCTAGAGGGGACTGGCTGGGGAGGTGGGGGGCCAAGAGCATCCGGGAGGCTGTGTTGTCTCAGTCCAAACCCAGGAAGCCAGGTCCTGTCCCCATCACTACTCACAGTTGTCTGGGCATGGGGCAGCCTCCCCCACACAGACTCCCTCCACCTTCCAGGCTCTCCCACTCCTGGAGCTCAGATATTTGTGCAAAGTCATTAGAGACAGTCCCAGTTTCTGCAGCAGGGCTGGAGTGTCACTGTCACTGTGATGGTCCAGGAAATGCATGAGGTTTCCTGTCACAGAAATGGCATGAGATTCCCTAAAGCCTGCAGTTCATCTGCTCTTGGCTTTACCAGGTGCTGAGCTGAGGCAGCTGCAGCTTTTCTCCAGCGGGGAGGAAGGGCACTCTGTGCACTACCGCTCCTCTCCCCTCTCTCCAGCCACAGAGCTCATCCCAAGCCCTTTCCTAGTGTAGAAGAAATCAAACTTTGCGTTGTGGTTGTATTAGAACTGGCAGAGCTATCTAGGTTTATTTAAAGCTATACAAGTGATTACAAGGAGGGTTTCCAAAGGAACTCTGACCTCTACAAGTTTATAAGCATATTTATACTTTAGACAGTGAGAAAAGATGCAGGGTTCAGACAAAGCAACCTTGAGAGAAACAGAAAGATGTTGATCATTCGTTTGTCACACGTAAGCAGTTTACTTATTCAGAAAAAAACCACTGTGTGTACAGCTCCATGTGTGGGGTGGGGGAAGGGGGGGTTAGAGGTGCAGTGGTCCCAGTGATGGAGCAGCTACTAGAGGAGGCTTGTGTGCAATAGGGTGGTCATGGGTGCCCCTGCCCTACCACTCCCTCCCCGCAACACACTGCACTGGTGAATGCAATCTCTGGGGTTTATTAATATGACCGTGCTGTGGGGAGGAGGCTCCAGGTATAGGACGGTGGGTTTGGTGCATGGTTGCCTGGAGCAGAAAGCAGTGCAGGGGGTGCAGGTGCTGGAGGGTTGGGAGGTTCCCCTCTAGCCCCGTGCCAGGCCCCGTGTGTGGGTATCGTGCAGGCAGCCCAGGGGCCCTGCATTGCCCCTGGCCCATAAACACCTCAGAAACCAGCACGGTGGCCAGGCCCCATGGAGAAGACAGGAAGGAGGGTGGGAGCTACAACCCCCAGAGCTCAAGGTCACATACGCAGATGACTGGGCAGGTGCCTGCAAGCACTGAACCTCACTTTTCTTGGGGCAGGTCAGAGATACTGCCCTATCCGACTGTATCAGGTCTCCAGGGTCCAGCAGCCCCTACTGCCCTTGCTAGGCCCCGTCTGCTGGGAGGTTTGGGGAGCAGGCAATGCTGAGTCCTCAGAGCTGGGAGGGGATCATACTGGCACAGGTGGGAGCTGGTACCTGGAGCCACCAAAGATGAAAGCAGGAGGCAGAGTGAGTGGGGCAGGTAGAGCCACCCCCAGGCCCATGTGTGGGGGATGCAGGGTCCAGCCGATGAGGGGGGAAGGAGACACAAGTCCCTGGTGCTGCAATGCTGTGGGCATGGACATTTGTACTCATGGTAGCCTCCCGTGATCCTGCCCCACGTTTGGTCCTGGAGGCTCCCTAGGGGCAGACAGCTGGCTTCTCGCAGATCCAGCGGTGTTTGTCAGCCGCATGGCCTCCTCTCTCTATTCTGCCCCCTTTTATTGTGCCAAAATAACCATGAGCTTTTGCACTCCCATGCCTGCAATGACAGAGGCTGCATCAGGGCTCCTAGACCTTCTCAGTTCCCACACAGCCCTGCCCACCTGGCTGAAGCCTCAGCCCCAGCTCCTACCCAGAGGAGCCAATGCCAGTCTGACCTTGCATGGGGGCCCTTGCATGGGGGCCTGAGCCAGAGCCCCCATCACAGCCTGCGCTGCAGTGGGATGACAGGGAGCTCCCCACACCCAGCACTGGTGCTCGGAAAGGTTGTGCCAGGAGTATCTAGGCAAGGAGCTTGGTGCCAACTTACCATTTGTATGGGGAGCCGTCTAACCACTGCCAGTGATCTGATTGGGTCTTCAAGTCCCATCTCCACTGGAGTCCAATCCAATACAGGGTGTCCATGTGGGCAAGAAAGCTCTAGGGAAGTCATGATGGCTGTGAAATGGCCCCAGGGCAGGGAGACCCCGATGCCTGGGCACAGCTCCCAGAGGGCCCCAGGCACTGGGGCTGGCCGGCAGGGCTGGGAAGGAGCAGGAGAAGGGCTGTTGGCTGCTCCAACCTCTGAGGCCTCTGCACTGGCAGGAGGTTTCCAGCCTTTCTACCTCTGCTCCAGCCTGTCTCTTCCCTTCAGCTGCCCCAGGCATGGCCTCAGTGCTGCCTCCACCTGCCAGGCTCTGCCCAGCCCCTCTCCTCCGGCGGGATGAAGTCACTGGCTCCTCTGGCACCAGCCCTGCTCTGACCCTCTCTGCACCTCCTCCCTGATCCCTACCTTTGCCTCCCTGCCCTCTGCCAGGTGTTCGCAGTGCACCTCCGGCCCCACAGCCCCGTACCGGCATGGTTGTGTGGTCCCAGTCCGAGGGGACAAGGAGCCAGGAGGACTCTTGTTCACACGCCTGTTTGCTTTCCAACCAGGTCTTCTTCTCCTTGGAGAGGAACAGGCACTTCCCACGGTGCAGCACCCAGGTCTCCGGGCAGCAGTCTGGGCACAGGCAGGTGCTCACATACAAGCCCCCATCAGGGCCAGTGCCAGGGCCATGGGCTGCTGCTGAGAGTGTTATGGAGCCCCAGGGACAAGGGCCCCCCCAGGAACCATCGTCTCTGCCCACAGCCCAGCAGACATGGTGGGAGCCAGGCAGTGTCCAGGCCACGGGGCAGCAGGAGAGGTGGGGGATGGAAAGTCCTGGGGAACCAGGCCAGGACACTGGGGTTCCCTCCTGCCTGCTCCCCATGAGGACTGGACCCAGAACTGCCCAGGGAGAAGGGATGTCCTTCCCAAACCACCAGCCCTGGGGGCATTCTGCTTCCTGCCCTCTCCTGCCCTGCCCTGGGTTACCTGTGAAGTGGCAGGGCTGTGCGCTGGCCCGGGCACTCTCAGATGTGCTTAGCTGCTCCTGGAGGTCCCGGGCTTGCTCTTGCATGTGCACAAGTTCTGCTTGGGTCTGTGCAAGTCCTGCTTGAGCCTGCACCAGCACCATATCCACCTGCTGCAGCCGCTGCTCCTGCTGCCAGTCTGCAGGCATGGGGCCATCAGCACCAGGAGCAAGGCCTGGCACCCCCAGCTGAGTGCTGCCACCTCTGCAGGGGCAGGACCCCACTGTGCTCACACTACCACCCAAACCCTGGGGCCATAGAGACAGTGTAGCCGGCGGGAGTCTCCCAAAGCAGCACCAGGGCACGAGCATGGGCACAAGCTGGTGGGAGCTGGGCAAGCACCTGCAGGCAGCTGGGCTCTGAGGCCAGCCCGGATCCAGGACACAAGCCAGGACCCCTCTGCACTGCCCCTCCCATGGGTGCTGCCCCTAGTGCTGGGTCTCCCCAGACAAACCTCCCCTCCATGCAGGTCACCCAAGGGGACGTCTCCAGAGTCACAACCACTCAGGAAACTGTCCCCATCCACTGAGCTGCCCTGCCCCTATGGTGGGAGGGGGTAATATTTCTTTGCCCAGGCCGCCCCTTTGTCCCCCACTCTGCCCCCAACGCTGCCCATCTTCCCCCCTCTGAGCTCCCTCCCAGCCCAGTGCGGCCCTACTCACAGCAGACCCCCAGGGCGATGGTGGTGGCCAGCAGGGCCAGGCAGGCTGCCAGCAGACCCAGAGGCAGGGGTCTTGCACTGCAACAGGACCCTGCAAGAGATGAGGCACCGTGGGACCAGCCCTGGCACCTGCAGCCTCCGTTGCCCCTACGCCAGCAGGCCTGAAGCCCCTCCTGCCCCAGCATTGCCAGCAAGCAGCTCTGCAAGGGCAGGTGGGGTCTGGGGAGTAACAAGATCCTCCCCCTACACCTGCCTCAGCCCTTCCTGCTCCCACTGTAGCCTTAAGGCAAGACCCTGCAGCCAGGACCCTGTGGGGCTGTTCTCATCAGGATCATTGGCACAGCCCTGTCCCCAGCCCCAGCCTGGGCTGCAGAAAAGGTTGCAGCATTGGACACAGGAAGCTGCTGCCTATGAACAGTTGCATGAGCATGTCTGAACAGGTGAGTGTGCACAGTGCCTCCAGCCCTGCCTGTGCTCAGACACGCACAGCCCAGTAGCACCCAGAGCCTCTGAGGCTGGCAAAGGAAACTGTGATGCCTGCAGCAACTGGAAAGGAGCACTTCTTCCTGGCCCGTGTGGCCAGCAGCAAAGCCTTGGAGCCTGGGGCAGCCATGCACCCGCTCTGCCCTGCATCCTGGGCACAACAATCAGAGCCCAGCCCTCAACCTTCTCCCAGCACACCCACAGCTGCCCGTCTGTGCCCTCCCATGAACTTCCCCCAGCACCTTTGATCTTTTCTCACTAAAGCTGGCTGTGAGCTGTGCTCCAGGCTCCTCCTGCCCTTACACTCACCTTTGCCCTGCTGAGCCCCATGCCTGGCCAGCCCCTTGACCACCGGGCCCAGCTGCAGGCTCTCGTAGATGCTGTCGCAGGTGCTGTTGGCCTCATATGGGGCGGGGGGGCGGGCTGCAGGCACAAAGGCTGGTCAGGGTGTGGGGCTGGAGCAGGACTGGGTGGTCGAGAGGTGCTGGATCCTACCTTCGCCCTGTGCCTGGGGGGGTTGCGCTCTGTCCTGGGGTGGCTTTGGAAAACCACATGGACTCGTACATCCTGGCCATGGGGCGCGGAGCAGCTCACGGTGCAGGTGGCTCAGCCTTGCAGGGCGGCTGGATCAAGCACAGGAAGTTCTGGAGCATCAGCCAGAAGCAGAAGTGATCTCGACCACAGGTGGGGGCGGCCAAGCTCAGCTGGATGCAGGCCATGGCCCAGCCACTGGCTCCCCCAGCCACAGCCCTGCAATGGCAGGGGCTGGCGAGGGAGGTGGGGGCCAAGAGCATCCAGGAGGCTGTGCTGCCTCAGCCCAAGCCTGGGAAGTTGCAGGCAGGTTTGGGGCTGCCCCAGGCATAGTGGGGCAGGGGCTGGAGGGACCATCTCTGACACCCTTTAGAATTACCCCCGGTTCAGGCTCAGGGAAGGGTGAGCCCATGGCCCCTTGGGCACCAAGACCTGAGCTCTGGGGCACAGCTCTTCCCTCCACCCCTATTCTGACTCCAGCCCCAGGCAGCTCCAGCCTGTTTGTGTCTGATGGTCTTTGTCCTCCTGGGGAAATCCCACAGCAACAACCTGTCACAACCCAGAAGGTGTGATTTTTGTTTTTGTGTCTGCTTTGGCACCACTGAATTATTTTTCCGCCAATTTGTAGCTTTCTTTGCAGTGTGCATTTCTTCTTTGCAGCACAGAAATGCACTTTGCAAAGAGTTCCCGCCATTTGTATGATAATTCGAGCCCCATTATTGGCTTGCGTGAAATTATTCACACATGGCGGCTAGCGTTTGGCTTGCTAGCCGTATAAGAGGCTTGAGCAGTTTCTGCCCAAGCCGGAGATCTCCGAGAATCTCAGGAGGATCCTGAGAACCCCGATTCTGAGAATTCCGGGAGAAATCTGAGAGAATTCCGGCAAGGAGTCCACGATTACCTCGTGGACTTCTACGTAAATCTTGGACCGAATGGTGGTTTGATCAGCCATCAAGAGTCTCTCCCCGTCACCGGATGATCCTTGACGTAGCCCTGCCCTGCCCTGCAGGTTTATCTTCCCGTCGCTGAAAACCCATTGCGACGTACTCTCGTGTTTTGCATCTTCCCGTCGCCGAAAACCCCCTGTGACATACTCTCGTGCCCTGCAGGTTCGAGTTTTGTTTTGTTTTGTTCTGTAACTGCAACTCAAGCACGTTTTCCTGCCTGCACCATGCCCATCTTCGGCGTAAGTAAACAATTTTGAATCAATCATTACGCGTCCATGTCTAATTCCAGCGTGTCGCCTGTTCTCTCCGACCCAGCGTGCCCGGGCTGCTGGCCACATGCAGCGGCGCGGAAAAGGGCCTGGACCGCTCCCAGCCCGCACACAACCCTTGGGGCAGGCAGCTGCCCTCAGGCCTTGGTGAAGTAGGACCTGGGGCACCAAGGCACAGGTGAAATGATGGGGTCTCCTGGACTGTGTCTGGGCTCTGGGGCCCATTGCTGGACCGCAGGGATGGAAAAGGACCCTCTCAAATGCAGGCCCTATCCCCATCGCTGACAGTTGTCTGGGCATGGGGCAGCCTCCCCAACACAGACCCCCTCCACCACCCGTGCCCTCCCATACCCAGGGCACAGATATTTGTACACAGTCACTAGAGACCATCACAGTTTCTGCAGCAGGGCTGGAGCATCGCTGTAGCCACAAAGGGTCAGGAAATGCATGAGGTTTCCTGGCAGTTGAAGAGCAGGAGATCCCCCACAGCCTGTGGTTCACCTTCTCTCTGCTTTATCCGGTGCTGAGCTGTGGTTGCTGCTGCTTCTTCTCCAGCATGGTGCACCACAGCTCCTCTCCCCTCTCTCCCAGCCAAATGGGTTGTCCAGCCCCAAAGCTCACCCCAGGCCCTTTGCTAGGCAGCCTGATGGATCTGGATGCATCCAGGGCAGCAGGGCCAGGTGAAGGAGACCCCAGTGGTACGGCAGCACTACAGACACAGACCTGGGAGTCCTGGTGAGTGCCCAAGTCAGGACAAGTCTGCAGCTGATGCACCTCACAAAAGACAAGTGCAGCTTTGGCTGCATCAATCAGAGCAGACCAGCACCTCTCCCGCAGCCAGACAGAGATGTTACTGCCCCTGGAGCCCAAGACAGGTGCCAAGACCAGGGAGAAGCCACCCCACCTCAACCACTTCTCCCAGTGCAAGGACCTAAGGGACAGCAAGGCCAAGGTATTGGAGGCAACCAGAAAGTGAGTCATGTCAATGTCCTTCAACCTGCAACCCGCCACCACCTTTCCACCCAGCAAACCTGCGAGGCCCAAACCCGTGTGGAGGTGCACTGTGATTTCTCAGCCCCTGGGTGTCACGCACCTGCTGCACACTGCCTGCCTCCCTCGAGGTGCAGTCCAAGTGCTGGGCAGGACGACTGGGCCCGGGTCCTGGCTTGGGCCAGGGGCTAGAGCTGGGGTAGGAGGTCTTGTGGGGGAGGCGGGTTCAGCTGCCTCTTCTTGGGAACATGGGATGGGTGTGCACAGACAAGGGGCCTGTGACCAGTGTAGCAGAAATGCCACCACCTGTGTCTCTCTCCAGAAACCTGTCCCGGTCAGCTTGGGACACTGGGGTCAAATTCCTAAGGGAGGGGGGATTTTCCTCCCTGCCTACGTGACAAAAGCCTGGTGCCGAGGGTGCGGTCCCTCTGGTCACCTGAGTGGGGGGAGGGAAAAGCCCCTGCTCATCTGACCAGGTAACAAGTGATGCTTTTTAAATTGGTTGGCTAGTTGCAAACACTGCTGGCTTCTAAGGTTCTGGGCTGCTGAGGTCAGAAAGGCGATATAAGGGCCTGGTCCAAGAAGAAAGGGGAGAAGCCATTTTTCCAGCATGGCCCAAACACGAGGACACAGGGAGGGAGTCTGATCCAACTGAAACGCTCTCTCTCTGGAAATCTCTGAGCCAGATCTTTACCATCTTCTGAGTGATACATGTGTTCCTAGAGAGCTAGTCATCTCACAGTGATGCATTTGCATATCAAACGGCTACATCAGCCAGACTGTTTTGCTCAACTGTAATCCCTTGATAGTGCTCTACCTCTTACCCTATTCTCACCCTACCCTTTGTAACCAGTAAAGTTCTCCTTTGTGACTGGCATAGAAGACTTATTGAGGGATGGGTTTAATTATGCCTAGGAGGCCCCTTGGGTTTGTGGACTAAGGGAGACTATCCTTTTTGGCCCCTGACTTGGGGAAGTGCCCCAAATTCTTGTATTGGGTTGAGTACCCATAGGACTATTAGGCCTATGTTACCCCGAGGACACAGGCCCCAGACAGTCCCTTCTTGGGGTGGTGGCAGCACGTTACCCCTGGACTCTGTGGTGGGGCTTGAAAGGGGGTATGCCATGGCTTAGGCACCCCTTGGGAGACACGTGGAGTCCGGAAGGTGGACAAGTGTGGTGAGGTGGAAGGCTCAACACAGGAGCTCCCCCTACTGGCCCGCCACAACCAGTACATTACCTTTCCAGCCTGGTCACCTAAGGGTGGCAGGAGCAGCACGTACAGCCCTGGTGCTGGACGGGGGGGTTTAGAGATGTGCAGGTCCCAGTGACAGAGCAGCTACTGGGGGACGCCTGGGTGCATAACCCTTTTGCTGAGCACCTGTCAAAAGCAAAAAGGGCCAGGTTCAATTTTGGGGTAATAAATATATTTTACCTTGGCCTGAGCCTCCACACATTCTACCTGGGAAACATTAATGAATTACTAGGGTGTCCAATATGACCAACAACCCTTTTCTCACCGGCAGTATGAACACAAACCCCAGATGTATTAGAGACAAACACCAGAACACAACATACGGTCAAGCAAAACAGAAACATTGTCCTGTTCCAAAGTATACCCTGTATCACCCCTACCTCTATTGGGGAGCCTCCTACCCCAGGCCTGGCATTCCAAGAGTGGGGGTGTCTCGAACCAAAAAAGTCCCTGGGGATTTGGGTGCAACATCTCCCTCGCTGTCACTGTCTCCAGTGCTGGGGGCACCGGTTCCCTCTGCATTGCAAAGGACTTATTCAGTGAGTTGATGTAGCTCTGCAGAGCTGGGGAGCA